TTTGCGTGAGAAATGATTGGCCATTACTATCCACGTAAACCACTTGTCCCAGTGCATCCACCCCACTTCTAACGGGGGCGGGGGCGGGGGTGGGGGGCTGTTGAGTATTCTGGCCATTATTGATCACATAGATTGGATGACCTTGTGTCTCCTCCTTGTTGTTCTCTAGTGAAGGGGATTGAAGAGACTCCCCCCCTTGAGATTGTATAGGGGTGGGGAGTATGACACCTTCATTCAATGCTACCAATGCGGAATTCATTTCTCCTTCTCTCTCTTCCTCCTTGTGATCATCAGATGGGGGGGACGGAGGTTGAAACCTAGACAATACTGCGTTGAACATACGTTGGCTGACCACCGTCCATTTAGCACCTGACGGGGGTCCATCAGTGAACACCCGTTTCAAGGAAGGGCTAACATCCATCAAGTTAATGAGTTGTACATAGGAAGTATCCCAAAACTCTGTCGGGCTGCTCCAAACTTTAATTTAAGCTGTTGGAGCAACCATTCTGCGAGTTGTATCATCTTTTGTTCCATCGTTATGCATTCTTCCTTTCCTGAGGGGAAAGCTTCAGCCATTGGGCTGTCCACATCTGTCTGTTCCAAATCAATGTCCATTGGTGCAGACCCAAATGCTTCTCGAAAAAAGTCTTGTTGAAGATCCTCTTCCTATATTTGGGGTTGTTCCTCTGCATTTGACCCTGAAGTTTGAGAAGCCTCTTCTACAAGGTTTTCCCCCTGATCATTTTTATTGACTAATGTTGACCCTTCCTTTGGCTTCCATGTTTGTTGATGATACGAGCATCCTCTTATTTTTATTATTTTTTTTTTTTGCTTTTTTTTTATGCTTTGTCTTTTTTGTGATTAGAGGTAGATCCTGTGAGAGCTCTGGTTCTCTACCTATATCTTGCTCCATTGTTGTGTCTTGAACCCGGACCTGCTCATCCTTTGAGGATGCAGTTAGTTGTGGTGTCACACCGTTTGTATTTGTGGAATTACCTACCTCGTTCAAGTAATCCAACGGATTTGGCTCTCGCGACCCATGTGATGTTGTCTTCTCTTGACTTGAACCTGAAACAGCAGCCCTCTCTCTTGCACCAGGTAAGGTTTGGTTTAGAGAGGAAGATGGGGAGGAGTTGGCCTTATTCATAACTTTGTCTGTTGGTTCCGGGGGTGTCCAGCTATCCGGGGTTTTTGTATCCCAACTCGGATCCCCTTCTTTTTCCCACGTCCATCCCTTTGGCTTTGAGCTCTGACCTGACCCTTCGATGTACACCCAACCCTCATGACCTTGATCCACAGTCCTCCACAAATTATTTTTGAAAGGGTCTCTAATCAATCTCTCAGTCACCCTTTGTCTGCGTGCCGGGTTTTGTTCACAGGCCTGGTCTGTACTGAGGTGTCCATAGGTTTTACAGCGGAACCACAAACGCAGTTTGTGCGCCGTGTGAATATGAAATTCCTTCCCCCCCCACTCTGTATGGTATCACATCATCTATGGTGAAGGGAAGTTTAGTGGGGTGGTTAAGAGCCAACATTAAATACTCGTCCCATCTTGCCGCAAATGCTGGGAGGGGATCAATGAAGTCCACAATATCATGTACCTCCCCAAAATCGTGGATGAAGGCGGCTTGGATTTCTATTGGAATATGGCGAAACTCCACCCAATAGAAATCCTCCATCATCTGACGCCGCCATTCATCTAGACCCTGTTTTGGGGGGGTCCAAGGATATATGCGGACTTCGGATCGATCACATCTCAACGTTCTCCATGAGTCAATTGTCCTCTTGTCGATTCGTGTATACTAAGCACAGTAAAAACCTAGGTTACCAATGGTCCGGAGACCAGACGTCTCCACCGGACGTCTCCCCCGGATGTCTCCCCCCGTCGTCCGGATTTCCGGACGACACCTTTTTGGCACCCAAAAAAAAATAAAAAATAAAAAAAAATGACAGTGTTGCGCATGGCCTAGAGACCCCCCACAAAAACATTCAGATTTTTCTGAGCATTTGTTGATAGGGTGGTATTTAGGGGGGGAAGGGGGGGTAGAAGGGGTTTTGGTGGGGATAGGAGGGGTATAGATGGGGAATGAATCTTTAAAGATTTTTATTATTTATTCTACTGGCCCAAATGATCCAAAAATTTGGTGGCATACACCTAATGCAAGGTGGAAGCCACACATTTTTTTATTTTTTTATTTTATTTTTTTTTGCGCTAGGTCGGGCATACCCTGTCCGGTCCGACGTTCGACCAGACGTCCGGTCGGACATCTTTTTTTTTTTTTTTTTTTTTGTACCTACATGTTCTGGGGGCCCTGCTTAAACCACCAGTACTTGGGCACTGCGTGCCGCGCCGGCCGCCCAAATCTCGAAGCAGCGCGGGCTGTCGACTCGATTTATCGACGGCCCGCCGGCCGCGAAAATCACGTAGCTTAACGCTAAGGCGTCGCCCAAGTACTGGTGGTTTAAGGAGGTGATAAGAGTACTGTGTTATGGTGATGCAGAGAGGCTCAGGCACCATCAATGGAAGGAAAGGCAGCATTGAATTTGGTGTGGGGTGTGGGCAGGCGGTATCAGGGCATACTCACAGTACCACTCTCCCGAATGTACCTGACCGTAATTACGGGTGGACCTGGATGCATTTGGCTGCATTTCCATCCAGAAATAAGTAAAAAGGTCCTAGTGTGAGTATTCCCTCAGACGGGTTGAAGGTTGCAATCACTAACCTTGCATGGAGGGAATGGTTCCCTCATCAATTGATATTTTTCTCCATCAATTGATATGGTCCCCCTCATCCGACCATGCCCTCGGTCCTTCAAGAGGTGGTGATAAGGCAGCCAATTTGTATGGTAAACTCAGGCTGCTGAGGCCGACAAATATAAAAATGCTCTTCGTTTGAGAATCACAAATACATTGCATAACAATTCTTCTATATTTTCAAATTTTCAAAAGAGGACGTGTGGGAGTACGCGGAACAGGACCTGTAGTCACTTCACGATCTCTATGCACGTCATGCTGTGTCAGGCAAAAACAGGGAACTCTCTCTCGATGAAAAAAGAAAGTGGGTGATGGAGAGGCTCAGGGGACTCGAGCACATCCCAGGCATGGAACCAGAGGTGTCATATCACAAAAGGGGAAGATTTACGGTAATGATATTTTGTGTGGATCCAGCATACGCACAATTTTTACTATCCCTGGGTTCTCTCAAATGTCATGGGTCGGTGGTAACCATTGAAGCATGGAAGCCTCCTTGGCCACCACCGACCGAAGCATCGAGACACAGGCAGTCTATGCTTAGAGATCATTTTTTGGTACAATTTGACAACCTGTCGGAGGGTATGCATAGCTTTGTACAACAACGTCTGACGGAGGAATTCCCAAATAACTCAATCATAGAGTGGCTCCCTGCTAATCCGGACTTTCTTGCTCCGAATCATGATTCAAGGGTGGTATGTTTGGAGGTTAAGTCGGGAGTTCTACCAAAATTCCCAGAGGTCTGTATTTTTCGCAGGCGGACAGAAAGAATTACTGTTTTTATTTCCACAAAAAACTAATCCGTTTTGCTTCAAGTGCAGGGGCAGGGGACACTTGGGGATGCATTGCCTGCAGTCTGGGTCGGGGTTAGGAGGTAGTCAGCCACAATTAAAACAATCAATGCTTGTTGAATCAGACAACAAACCAGGGGTATGGTTAATCAATTCAGCACAATACAGGGGCTGGATCTTCGATGACAACCTGGACATTCCACGATGGGTGTGGGTTCTTCGCAGCACACCAACGGTGAAACCGGACATCTACCCTCCATATGACAGTAGATGGTGGCAAACGGGTGCAAAGCGGATGGTGGACAGAGACGTGGGCTTTATCAATAAGCCCATGATAGATGATGCCTCATTGTTGGACAACAGACAGAGACTACAGACCATGGCAGAGCTACACAAGGTGGGCCAAGCAGCGGAGCTGGCCTTCTTGGAAAACAGAAGAGCAAGAGAGGAGGCACAAAAGTCATAAGCGGAGGGAGGTTCGGAGGAAAAGGGGGACGATGGTATGCAGGGAAGTAAGACCGGTTCAAGGAGTAAGGGAACGAGGGAGGAAGAGATGGAAGAGGATGAGGGAGGCAGGGTCACTAAAGGGGAGGGGAAGGGGGGAGAATCATCCGCGTCTCTTAAGAGGAAATCAGTGACAGGGAATCAATGAAAGGGGATAGCTCATACCAAGGGCCTAAGCGGGCACATTCAAGGAAGGGATCAGATTAAGCTTCCACACAGGGGAAACAGGAGCACAAGGCTGATATGGAAGAAGAAGGCCAGGGGGAACAAGGATCTTTTTTTTCTTTTTTTTAAACACCCCGGGTGATGCTGGAGGTGCTGATAAGAGCAGCCACCGCTAGCATCCCCAGGCAGGCTCCATTCTATTGGTGGGGAGTTGCACCTGCTGGAAACCGGGTCCAGCTTCCCTGAAGCATACAAATCAAAAGCATAGTTTGGAAAGATAAAGGAGAGTGTGATCTGCCTCTTCAGCCATGAATTGTGACCACCAGATTTGTCCCTACAACTAGCATCACTATCTCCCATCCTTTCCTGCTTAGTCTACCTTGCAAGCCATGGAATAGGTTGTACAAAGAACGGTTGGAAACTCCGAATGAGAAAAAGGACATAACAATAGGGCCATGAGCTAACCTTTTTACCCGCTGTGCCAATGTATATCAACCAATGTCAATCCTGATGGTGGAAAGGGATCTAGAAAACATTATGGAGATCTGAGAGTGGCACCTGGAGGTAGTGAAAACCAATCTCTGAAGAGCAGGTGGTAATCCCGCTTCAAAGGTTCTCCCTGTTCTTCCTTTCGTGGTCATTTCACTTCTTCCAAGTTGTCTCCTTCAGTTCCCCCCAACCAATTTTTATTAAACTTCTAAATACTGTTAATGATATCCTTTTTTTGATGAAAAAGTTGAATCTTTGAACGAACCATCGACCAGTGTGCTCGTATTTCCGTCTGAACGAATTGAACAATTAGTTCAGACACTTCTTTTCCTTCCAATTTTACCTCTTCTCTCTCGTATACGCATCTTTTATACCGTAATGTCCAGAGAATGGCTTTACATCCAATCTCAAAGCAATTTCCTTGAAAAGGGGAAGAAATGGAAAGTACAGCCTCTTCAGACGACACGTCAGTGTCAGCCTCAACGGACCAGCAAACAGAACATGGGCCTTCAGCAGGTCAAACTAGCTCTACAAACAGATCACCTTCTGGTGATAGGGAAAACACAGCAGAGGATTCAGGGGGGGGGGAAGGAGGAAGGAGCAGGGACAATGTCACACGATTCAGATACAGATTTGGAAGGGGACAGCGACAAGGGGGAGGAGGAATGGGAGGAGGAAGAAGGGGAGGACGAACCGCAGACAGTAGCACGGTGGATTAAGCACGTTCACAAGCTGAAGTGGGAGAGACACATTGAATGTGAGATTCGTCTGGCACACCACAAGCATTTGCGCAATTTGAAACAAGCCACAACAGCGGGGGATGACATCACAACAGCAAACAAATTTGAAAGACTGAAGAATGAGCAGGAGGTTAATGAGTTCTACGCTACGCAATATGGATGGAAGGCTAGGCTGGACAAGAATGACATCACGGTGCATAATGCGGGGTACGCCAAACAGTTCATTTGACCGAAGTCCTACCATCCACAGGGTCTGAAGAGATCTGAACAGAAACGAAGGGCCCAACAGCAAGAAGCGGAGCATTTGGGAGCAGTGACCAGGATTTGTCATATTCCGCTCAGGGGTTAGGTGTGGATGAACAGATGGAAAAGGAAAAGAGGCAGGCAACGATCTTGGAGGCACAAGTCGAGGTTCTCAAGGATCAAAATAGGGAATTGGAGGAAGACACTATAAATCTGCAGAAAATAGCCTACACTCCACATGCAGACATCAATGCAGCGGCCAAATTGTAAGCAAGACAAGACCTAGGTAGGAGAATCATTTTGCCCTACATATGGAACAATGACAACGTTGATTGGGAGGTGGTCATCCAAAGGTCTTTGGCACTAATTACAGTGAAGGACAGTCACTGCGAGCATGATATATTGAAGGAACGTATCACAAAAGATCTGCCCTCGCAGGCACACGTCATTGGGGACCTCAAGCATGATAGGGAAGAATGGGAAGACGCGGCGGGTACAGCGCACATGGTGGACTACAAGCCACTCATGATCAAGCTGCAGGAAAAGCCAGTGTTGGCTGAGGGATTGATCTGGATGCCATGGCAAGTGGTGGAGACGATTCCTTATGGATTGTTGGGGGGTTCGGAGGCGGCAGAATGGGTGGCAAGGGGAGCGGCCATAGTGACCAAAAGTAACGTGTATTTCATGGCAGTCGGACTACATCGACGGAAAGATCGAGATCCTGGCTACAACAGTAGAGTGGACCCGGGTAGGATCCTGAGTACAAAGTTCGAAAAAGGTCAAAAAATACATCATAGCTCATGGAGGCGGGATTGAGAGAGGGAGTGTACAAACGTAGAAGGACAGCGAATACTTCAAAATGTAGGGAGCCGGTCCTTAGGGTCATGTCTTGGAACATCAATGGGGTGGTGCAAACTTTGGAAAACAAAGACAAGTGGAACAACGTAATGAGGTACTCAAACTGGTTTGGGAAGACACCTCCAAAATTTTTATGCCTGCAGGAAACTCACCTTACGGATTCATCAGAGCATCACAACATTCAATAGCGTATAGTAAGACAACTAAGGTAGGTTAAGGCAAGTTTTTGGGTGGTAGCTGGCAGGTCACATTCAGCAGGCGTAGTACTTTTACTGAATAAAAGATCGCTGGCTGCAAATGGAATAATAGTATAGGATGTCATTTTAGATGAAGACGAAGGTCGGTGGATAAAGCTCAATTTTACCTATCAGAATGAGCAATTCACGCTCATTACAGTCTATTGTCCTAACGGAGGGCATCAGCGGTCGGAGATGATAGATACGCTACAAAACCACATAGACCCGACATCTCATATTGCTTGGGGATTGGAATGCTACTTTGGATCCTAGTAGGGATAAACTATTAGGCGGAAGGTCAGGGTTAGGGAAAGGAGTAATGTGGGACGAAGCCCCACCTATTCATAACCTTATGGCGGCTAGAGATCTGGTAGACCCATTTAGACTTCAACATCCAGAAGGGAAACAATTCACGCATTACAAAAGGAATCGTAGTCAACATTTTTCAGCATCAAGGATAGACTACTTCCTCATATCGCAAGACACCGTGGGAACATTACACTCGGTGGGAGTAAGGGACTTACCATACTGTTCGTGCCTAGATCATAAACCCATATTTCTTAATTTCATTATGGACAAACATGTCCACAGAGGAAGAAGTTTCTATAAGGTTAATAATTCGTTATTAAAAACCAAGGAGTTGACGAAATTTATTCTGCAAGTGTGCCTAACACACAATCATTCACAGACCTTATAGAAGCCCTGTCAGCGGCAACGACAACAGTATCCAGACAACAGGCAGCCTGGCAGCAAGACGGTTGGCAAGGGAAATCGAACTGCAAAGGACATTGCGTATAGCAGAAAAGAATCTAATTAATAACCCATGACCGAAGATGTACGAGATAATAATAGAAGCAACAAGAAACGAATTGGGTCACTGGGAGAGATGGATGGCTAGGGGTCTGCAGATGAGAGCGAGAGTGAAAGAATGGGAGGAGGGGGAAAGAATGACAAAGTACTTCTTTCAAAAGATTAAAGCAAGAGGAAAAAACAAGCTAATAGAGCAGTTGGAAGGTCCGCAAGGAGTGGTTTCGGATCCGGAAGGGATGCTTTCGGTGGCGTACGACTTCTATAGTGCATTATACACTTCAAGGGAAGGTGACCATACTTCTCATCGGCTGAAGGAAGTCAGAAATAAGTTTCTATCATACTTGGATTGTACGGTGAAGAGGGAGCATGCAGAAAAATTGGACGCCCCTCTGTCCCAGGAGGAATTGAGGGAAACCCTACAGTTTATGCCTCCTAACAAGACGCCGAGTAAGGATGGAGTGACTAAAGAATTTTGGGTGGAGTATTGGCCTATCCTAGGAGGAGAGTACAAATCCTTTCTCAATCAAGCCTGGTAGAAAGAGGGCTTGGGGTTAGAGTCGGCGACAGGCATTGTTACTCTGCAATATAAGAACGGAGACCCTAGGGATATAAAAAATTACAGACCAATTACATTGTTGACCCTTACTCACAAGATTGTGGCTAAAACACTATCTAACCGCCTCAGGAAAGTTACAGAAGGTTGTTTCCACCTAGATCAAACAGGTTTTGTTCCGGGAAGATTTATATTAGATAATGTCATGACTTTATCAGAATCGGAAAGGTACATTATGAATAAGAGGATAAACGCAACGATCCTCTTCTTCGACTTCGAAAAAGCATATGATCAAGTCAACGACAACTTTCTACAACAATGTATGGAGAAGATGGGAGTGGGTCCTAACTTTCGTAAATGGATTCGTGTACTGTATAATGATGCACACGGGCAGGTCCAAGTTCATGGCCACCTGTCAGATCGGTATAAAATGACGAGGTCGGTGAGGCAAGGGTACCCCTTAGCGGCTCTTATTTTCTTGTTTATAATGAAAGTTATTGCCTCGTTCCTCATGAAAGACCCTTCGATAGACCGTCTGATTGCTGAACCGGATCAGCAGGGAGGTGTCACACATTTATCGACAACGATATTATTTGCGGACGATCTCACGGTACTAATCAGAGCAACGAACTCTTCATTTCAAGCCCTTACTAGAACAATGGCGGCATTCTAGTTGGCATCAAAGATGAGAATCAACTGGTCGAAGATGCTGTGGTGGTGGCTATCACATGACGACCAACAACCACAAAATTATGGGGGGATGACTTGGTTACTGTCGGATCAGACAATGAGATACTTAGGGATTAGAACGGTGGACACGGATCCCCACCACTCCATGGCGCCAGAACAGATGACAAAAATGCTATTAAAGCTGGCGGCGTGGTCGGAAATACATACCTCACTATTCGGGAGGGCACTAGTCATAAATGCTTCAATCTTCTCTATCTTATGGTATGTGGGAACAATATGGTCACCACCTGCATATACACTACAAAAACTGAGGAAGGTGGCGAAAGCATATTTGAGGACAACAAATCTAACAAGATCCAACTTTATATCAAAGGTAGCATGGAACCAAGTTATTCAACCAAAGGACAAGGGAGGGCTGGGAGTCTTGGATCCGGGACAACAGATAAGGTCACTCCAAACTAAGTGGATCATTAAGTTGTTAACACAGCCTCACCTTCGGTGGGTCCCATTGGTACTCGACCACATACGACAGATGGCCAAATTTACAACGCCTTCCAATATGAAGGGTACATTCTAACTATTCTGCAAGGGTTGGACTAAGAAGGGTAGAACGAGGGAACAAGTACAGAGGAAGACGCAACTAGGGGTACATATTGGGCTCAATTGCTCAAAATTTGAGAGACGGTCTTCCCGGCAAGAGTAAGACAATCGAAGACGAAGGATGAAGTGCTTAGACAACCGTTATTTTGTAATCCATGGTTAAAAGACTCTCAAGGAAGACCTAAAACACTAACATCAAAGGACGCAAAGTGAGGGAAGTGGTTAGAGCATGGGGTATGGCAGGTAAAACATCTCTGATCAGGCAGCCCAGGGGAGATGGAAAACAGGTAGGGAGCTGAGGGAGGAAATGAAGGGCTGTCACAGACTAACTGAAAACTCGAATGACATTCTCGTTTTGATCCCTGATGAGTGGACAAGTATATTGAAGGAACCAGACAAATGGGGATGGGGGGATTGGGCAACAATAACCTCTACTAATGAATCAGAGGCAGCCTTTCGCATAGGACAGGAAGTCAGACCTTCTAACCAGTGGTTGGAAGCAGATATGTACTCAATACTATCTCCAGGAGTCACGGTCAGTATGCTAGATAAGGATTCGAGGGTTCTGATTGCCATTAAGAAAAGCATCTTAAGAAAGGTCAAAGTGGTTGAGAATGAAGATTTTACGATATTTGAGCCACTGACATTCATTCGGGACCTGGAAATTGATCCAGCAGAGTGAGCATGGAACATCAGGGGAAGCTCGTTAAGAGTAATCAAAAGAATTAATATACTTTAGTACACCACTAAATTGGGCTACCGTCTAAGGGGGAGATCATGCCATTTGGATCAGATTTCGGCGATAAGATGGGAGAAGAGACTGGATATACCAAGGGAACAGGTAGAAAGGTTACCATGGTCAACTTTGCACAGTATCAGATTGGCCAAGGTCTGGATCATGCAGTGGCTCATCTTTCATGTAGCACTCCCAGTCAATATCTAGCTGTTCGATAAACGAAGCAGACTCAATAGGAATGACGCAAATCAAAACTGTGTTGCATGGGAGGTATTCCGGAAACTCTGATCCATTGCTTGCTCCATTGCCCGGAAGCAGAACATCTCTAGCCCATAGCTCGTTCATTGTGGACACATACTACGGAGGTCCCCTTCCCGCAAAACAGGAGACTAATATTGATTGGAAGTGAGGTGCCTAAGGGATGGCGGGCAGGTCACAAATATATCTTTCAGCTTTTGAGACAATACACTTTATGGACAATCTGGAAACGAAGATGTCATCAGGTGGTGGGCAAGATTCTGATGACTAGAATGGAAGCCAAGGCAATTCTCTATAGCATGTTGGAGACAAAGATTAGGGCGTTATGGAGAAGGACAAAGAAGCAAGTGGCTCTTAACCCAAAAAGGGCAAAGGATACCTTAACCAAATTCCAGAAAAGGGTACTAGCCCAAGGCAAAGTCGCAACTGTAGAAGGAGAGAGACTTATCTTCCATTGGTTCAAAGACGAGCGCCATGAGGAGACTATAAATTATCAGCTGTTGACACAAAAACTTAGGCTGTGAGGCAAAAAGGAGTTCTAGCAAGGAGCGCAACAATAGTATCTGCGAAGGGTATAGTACTAACAAAATACATTGTAGATGGCCAAACCAGCAGCTATAATACGAAAGGGAAATCAGACAGCCTAGGGGCTGAGAGGAACTGACTAGACGGAACCTAAGTAGGTAAGCGTCAAACAACATAATAAACGGGATTGCAGACTAGCAGCAAAAGGATAGAAACAAAGTAGTGCGGGCTAACTTAGGCAAGGGTGAGGGGTGGTACATCCTTCCCATCGGAAGTAATCAATGTCGTCCCCCGGGTCTCCACACCAGAAGGGGGAGGAGTGTGAGCGTGTTCTCAATGTAATTCGTTTTGACTTGCCGGTGGAATAGGAACCGGACTGATGCTCCCTAGGAAAAAAAAAAAAGCCTTGCTTTTGGGGCCACTAAACGACGTCTCGTATGTTGAGGATGGTGGGCAAGATGCAGGGTGTGTGGACTGGGAAGTAGATAGTGAGATGGACCGTGAAGGGGATGTGGGGGACAGGCATGAACATGAGGGGGGGGCTGGAGGATGGTGCGAGAACCTGATTGCGCTTTCTTTTCAGGGGGGCATCGAGATTGCCGACGCCCTTGTCGGGACAGAAACCCCTGAGAGGGTTTCTGCCCGAGTTTTTCAAGGTCAGACGCTGTCCGACTCTTTTCATTGAGGAACATGATGAGATTGACGTTGCCAAAGTTTATTCAGACCAATCCTATAACTGAGGGATCTACAAACTGGCGTCGATGACGTGTGACGTCATTGACGTTCGTTCGAAACAGCAGGGGTCAGCGGTACGACTTGTCGTTCGCGGTTCCCGACAAGGCCGCGGTGGTGCCCGAAAATGGAAAGACTAAAGCTAGACCTAGTCTACCTAAAATAGGGTCGCGGCGCAGGGGGAAAAGAAAGTTTTATTTTTTCTTGGGTCGTGGGGGTTGACTTCGAGCCAGAGGGGGCCTGCAGGCCGATGTCGCGGCCTACCCGTTGGGTGACCCCTAAGCCGTGGATGAGCAGCCATCCATGGGGGAGCGGCAGACAGGCAAACAGGTGGGGCCTGCAGTGCTACAGGCTGGAGGGGACTGCTAGGCACAACTCTTCACAAACAGGAGTTGCTCTTTTTGGAGTTGGCCTTTTCATAAGGCATTCGAGCGCGGCCGATCTCGGCCGATCGATCATGAGATCTCGTGGCTGAGATCAGCCGCGCGGAGCTAGTATGACCCTTGTGCAAGGATGACACGCACAAATCGAGAACTGGTTCAAGTCTTGTTTTTTTCCCAACTGGGATTGAACTCGGATCTGATCCAGCGGCCTAGCTTAGTTGGTAAGGCACGCAAGTAGCATTCAGGAGGTTCTGGGCTCAATCCCCATTGGCCTCATGTACCTTCCTGGGCAAGCTTAGCGCCCGCCACCTAGAGATATGCCGTTGGTCCCTCCGAGTGGCATTGAGCAGAGACTGCTGATGTTCATAGGGGGAGGGGACCGGAGGGGAGACACAGTGACTGGCCCAGCCAATAGGCTCGGTCCTGATGCTAC